TAGTTGCCTGTTGGAGATAATAAGCGACACTTTGAATCTTGGAGGATGCTTTTTTGTAAGTAAAGATTTTGGGTTTTTTGGTACATAAAACTATTCGAGATTAAAAATCTAATATTGTATGTGTTTTTTTACTGAGAACTTCACACAAATTCAGAATTTTATTAATTGGTTTAATTATTTAATTCATTAAAAATAATGAATTCTAAACGTGTAATTGGCAATCATTCTTATTATAAGTTCATAGTTTTATAATTATTTTTTTCTTCAATGTTTTATTCAAACCAACTGTTGTTTAACAATAAAGTTCTCAACCATCTGAAATCATAGCGCAGAAAAGACGTATTAGTCGCGCAGCAAACAGTATTTATAGCACAGTGCACAAAATTATAATTGTGATTTATGTAAAAATAACCCATAGTCATTGGCTATAAATTTTGTCCATGGATGAAGTTTTAGGCATACGTTGTTTCAGTTATTGTTTCAATTCAAGCCATTGGTTAAGTTAATTTTATATATTAATTAGTAGAGAAGTTTCGAACAGAAGTGAGCTACAACAACAAAAATTATTTTTATATTATTATTAAATATTGTTACAGATACCCATCATCAGTGGTTTTTGAATTATTTCTTGTATTTAATTATTCGTAAATAATTTTTTTGAGACTGCAAATACCAGGGATTGAACTCGTGCCCTGCCAAATTTGAAGCTCAGAGTCAGCGCTCCTTAACCAATTGACCTAAAGCCCTACTTGACTTTTATGTTCGTACATTTTTCTGAATTTTTTTTTAATTTGCTGTGAAAGTTTTATTCACAAATTCACTTGCTGGGTTTATATTAGAACGAAATCATATATGTGTATATAAATTATTAATTATATTATTAATAATACATATATTAATTAAGTTATATGATATACGGAATCCATTATTTTTAATTTTAATCGTCATAGACAATTGCAATGTTATTAATGCAGTTGTTGGATATCACTAGGAATGTGGGTACTGTTCTCATGGTTACAGTCAATACCAGTCCTACTGAGTAAAATATATATATATGTGCATAAGTAAGTATGTAAGTAAGATATATGTGCATAATGAGTCGTATTTGAATCTTAATAGAATTCACTTGAAATCTTAAGTCTGCCTTTATTAATGTTTTATATTTATACTATATATTATTTTTTAATTTTTTATCAGTCCTTACCATCATAAATGTATACTGCATTTTTCGTAAGAGTTTTTTCAGTTTTTAAATCCACATTTTAATACAAAAATCTTATATTTACTTAAATCGTAAAGGTGAACCTATTAAGTATCACCACTGTCACCAATGAATATAGCTTTCTGATTAATCTTTAAATCTCCAAATCTTTATTTAATATTTTCCATAAACTGTGAAGCGAAACGTTTAGCAAGTTTCGCAATTTTCAGTGATCATTTAATAAAGTTTCATTTAGTTTTTAGCAGCCCCCAATTTTTTACCTCATTATTTCTAATACCTTAATCTTCATACAATATTTTCTATAACTGTGAAGCGAGATGTTCAACAAGCTTCTTAATTTCAGTGGCCATTTTATACGGCTTGATGACTTTTTTTAACTGCCCCTAATTTTTTACCATACTATTTAGTCATTATAACTGAAAAAAAAAACATTTTAAGTGAGAACTCCAAAATGTATATTAATGTTATGTGTATATCAATTATTAATGAAATATGCTCTATAAACGAAATGAACGAATTCTAATAAGCAATTGGGCAAATTATGAGAAATGTAAAATATGAGCCGCTATAATATGAGCGGCATTGGAGCATAGCCAAGCAATACTGGGCTGACGAACCTCAATGTTAGGTTGACTTGGTCTAATTTAGACAAGAAAAGAACTAGTCAGCTACTTCAACTAAGACAGAACCTGCTCAGCACCACGGTATCTGTGCTGACGGGACACTGTTTAGTAGGAAGGCATGCTATGAGACTGGGTCTTCCCTTTAATTATATTTGTCGAGGTTGTGGTTCTGAGGATGAGGAGGAAACCGTGCTCCATCTCATGTGTCAGTGTCCTTCCTTAGCTAGAAGAAGATTAAAAATCTTCGGATCCCCTTTTCTCACCGATCTGACTGAGCTGTCATCCTGTAATGTTAGGGACCTAGCCAAGTTTATAGAATTGTCAGGTTGGTTTTCCTTTACCTAATGGGGGAGTTGTTACCTTCGTTCGGCGTTGAATGTATACTGATCTAAATCTATGTACATACCAACGTCATTCCTGTGGTACCACAATGGGCCATCATTTGAGGAAACCGTGCTCCATCTCATGTGTCAGTGTCCTTCCTTAGCTAGAAGAAGATTAAAAATCTTCGGATCCCCTTTTCTCACCGATCTGACTGAGCTGTCATCCTGTAATGTTAGGGACCTAGCCAAGTTTATAGAATTGTCAGGTTGGTTTTCCTTTATCTAATGGGGGAGTTGTTACCTTCGTTCGGCGTTGAATGTATACTGATCTAAATCTATGTACATACCAACGTCATTCCTGTGGTACCACAATGGGTCATCATTTGAGCTCAAGTGGGCTATTTGGGATACAAGGTCGCCACTCCAACCTACAAACCTTATCAAAGGTTAATTTAAGCAATATAGTTTTATGTTATATGAGCACCCATATTCGAAATGGAATTGGCAAATAAAGAAGAAGAATATTTAGCAACAGAAATAGGAATAAATCTCTATGTTTTCAGGGGCATCTTTAAAGGTTATATTGTGCTACAAAAGGTCCTAACTAAACAAAAAGTATTCCATCTTTCAATTGAGTGTCAAGTGTTTTCTCAAAACTTTCTGATTGCAGTGTGAACAAGAATTTCTACTTGAATACCAATCTGCTGTTATAAACTCAATAAGGCAATAACAAACAATGTGATCAGATGTTTCATCCTCTTTCAGCTAGAGACAATATTCTATCACATCAGTCAGATTCACTCGGTTGAAATGGTAGAGTAGGTTAGCATGGCAGCTTTCTTTAATTGCAATTGTAGTAGTTAATAATAATTAATTAATTATTATTTATTACTATAATAATTAATAATATTGTAATATTAATAATAATTACAATAAAATTCATTCAAAATCACTTTGATGGCCATCTTAATAGTAAAAGTGAGAGATTTATAATTTTTCATATTCTTTTATTTTGTCAATCAATCTTAGTTCTATCAACTTTTACATAATCGAAAATAATATTAACTATTTTTATCTTTATGTTATATGAAACTAAAAACAAAATATAAAAAAGTTTTAATGGTCTCAGGCAGCATTAAGTGTGCTTTTATTTTTTCTTTAAATAAAATATCAATGAATTTAATTATCTGAAGTTAATTTTAAAAAACATATCCTTTAGATTTTAGATTTTACTTTAAAAAAATGCTCTTCTATTAAAATTTATTACAATTACATCACATACTAAACAAATAGACAATTTTCATTTTTATTAGGAATACATTTATTGCAAAACTTAGCACTTAATAAAATTATTGTTTCATTTCACTTTATGCAAAAAGCAATAAAATGCATTGCTTAACTGAGTTTACACTATACTAGTTCTTAATTATTAGTACGATTTTCTCATTTTAATTATAATAATTATCAACAAATTACAAAAAAGTACAAATAACAAACACAACAATATTTAAACTAATTGTACATTGCGATGGATTTGTATGTTTGGTTTATATGCACGTCTGTTTGTGTATGTGTTTCATTTGTTTGTTTTAAGTGTGCATTGGGTTTAGCATACTTGTAGGCGTTGAATTTCCCTAATTAAAATAATTGATCGGCTAACGAGCCAATAAATGTAGCTAAAGTCATAGATGAACCCTCTTTAAATTTAAGGCCAATTGTTTTTCCATAAGATTGTATAAAAATAGCGCGTACTCTATTTAAACGTTGTCTCCGCCTATAAATATATAATTTATTTTTTAAAATAATTTATTTAAATATTTTAAAAATATAATTGCACTTACTGTGTACTCGGTGAAGATGGACTGTTGGCAGATGCAGTACCTGCTGTACCATTGCATCCTGAACCATTACTATTGCAATTGCCGGGTGTGGCACCTTGACCACAGCCAGTTGTCGAATTACAGCCACTATTTTCCCGTGAAGCCATTTGCATAAAACTGCCATTCATAGATGAATCAATGGACCCAGTCTCAGTCACCACTTGCCAACTACCATTTGAAGATGTCGACTCTTGACGTTGTCTCATTGTATTAGAACCAGGAACTGTTATTGGACTAGTTTTGGAACTAGAATTGGAAAGAATTTTAAAATTAGAATATTGTAACGCAATGAATGAGGTACATTGACATTAAGGTCGCGACGCAATGTCCTCTATTTATAATAATAAATACAATGAAAATTTGTAGTAATTATTGCTAGCCTGAATTTAAGAATATGTTTAAGTTATAGCTGTGATCATAATGATCAACTTAAGCCTAATAGCTTATTGTATTATTGTATATAACTTAACAGGTTTGGAAAGATAATTTTAAAACTAAATACATAATTACATATTTACTTTTGTTTAAAATACAGAAAAAAGCTCATTATTTTAAATAAAAAATTAAACCTGTGCATTAATGGATTCTGTTAGATTATACCTGCGATCCCTGGTGGATCCACTTAAGCCTATTGGCCTAAATTATTTTTAATACTTTTTATAGATAATAAATATAGCAAATAAATTAATACCAATATTTCATTTGATTTCTTAATATAAATGTATAAAATAAAATTAAATTTATTTAGTAATTGTTACCGTTTCGGATTTGGTGATCGATTTGTGAGCGGGTTAGGGGATGTTGTATTACTTGTATTACTTGGTGGTGAAGCTGTCATGAAAAAGTTATCATTCATTTGCATATCACAGTTGGAACCATTTGAGAGGCTATCATTACTATCTTGGTCAAAATTTATACTGTTCCAAATAAAATAAAACAATTTAATTATTAAGTTATTATTTGAATGTAACTGAAACAAACTAAGATGTTGAACTTACTCTCTAAGCTGTTCATCATCACAATCTTGCTTTATAACAATAACGCTACTGCTTCCACTACTGCTAGATGTCTTAGTACGTTTTCTAAAACGAAAAAATTTTAAATAATTAAAATATAAATTAATGTCGCCTTTAACAACCTATGTTCGATAATGCTGAAGTCCTCTTCCGTTATATGTTTGAGCACGTGAAAGCAGAAAAACATAATATCTTCACCACGTTTAAGTCGATCAGGCAGTTGATGTCCAAACATAAACCAGTCGTAAGCTAATGTGAAATAAGTAATTTGTGTAGGATTTAGTGACTGATGTATGAGACCATCGGCCCATAATGATAACCGAACTAACGAAATAAAAAGCGGTGTACGATCCCAACCACTGATACAGTGTATAAGCAATCCAGAGTTTTCCTCTTGTATATATTTTAATATAGCTTTAAGGTAATTTTGTGTTATTTCTATCAAATCCCATTGCTTATATTCATGCCAACAGATATCAAGATCTGCTGTTGGACCCAATTTAGGTACACTAATAGAGGCATCGTTAAATGATTGATTCCAATCATAATATAGATTTTTAGCAACGTAATTATTATCGCGAAAGTTTTTGAAAAACTCACAACCTGGATATGGCAATGAGAGTAAATTAAAGTTCTCATAATGACAAGGATCAGCCTTTTCTGAAGATGAAACGCTGTTGAATATATAAATAATACATAATTAAAATAAAAGAGGATTTTTTATTTAAGTTCTACTTACGTTACAAAATATTTAACTTTACGCTTTTCAACCATTAGGTCCACTATTGTAGACACTTTTAATGCATTTAACAATTGTATATCACTTTTTATAACCTCATCATAACTAAAAGGCATTTGTACGTTGATTTGATTGATAAGTGATTCTTCGGTAGGATCATTATTTTCATCATCTAAACTAGGCCGTTCGGTATTATTTGAGCCACTCAGGCAATCATAAGCATAGTCCACCACTTTTCTTCCATACGTCTCTTGCACGACGGATATCGTTGCCGAACGACATATATATTTACCGCGATACATAATAACAGGAACGGAGAAACGTTGTCGGCAACGTGCATACTTAGCCATGGTGACTAGTTCGCGGATCTTGTTAACATCATATAGATCTTCGTAAATTGTCTTTTGAGCCTGTGTGTGCGGGTTAGGATGTGAATTGGTATGTGTGTGTGAGTTGCACTGATGTTGCTGGGATTGTTCCAATGGATTTGCGAAAGTAACAAATGTATGTATACTGCTATCTCCAATTTCGCCATCTACTGAATCTAAACAATTGCTATTATTACTAGTCAGACCATTACTGAGAGATGAAGTCGTCGTTGTTGATGTTGTCGGTTTTGTAGGTGATGTCGTAGTTGTTGTTGATCCATTGCAGGAACAGTTCGTAAAAGCATTTGCGTTGGCAGTGAGAGTAGACGTCATGTATCCATGTTCATATTCTGGTATTAATATTCGAACTGGATACCGCGAAGAAAGCAGACCATTTGGGTTTTCAATTTCAAATAGACTATAATCAAGTTTAAAAAGTTGTTCAGCTTTTTTTGAGATTTCAAATTCCTAAAATTAAAAAACCAATTCAATAAATTAGTAATATTTATTATAGGATATATTTTTACTAATTGAAGATTTGATTAAACATATTAAATTTTTTTATTAATTTTTTATTAATAGGAACAATTGTAAATCGCAAACAATAATTGAAAGATTCCAAAGCTAATGCTGAAAGTTAAAAATATATAAAATCGTATAATATCTCTTGGTTCAACATGAATTAGGCCATACACTAGGAGAGGCCATTCATCCTCTATTATATTCTCTAAATTATATACCGTAATTTTTTTTTATTCACAAACCTAAAGAAAGATATTTACACTTTATAATCGTTACATCTGGAAAATATCTCTATTTTTGTAATATATTTATACATCTCATTACCTCAAAGAGGATAAGGTACCTATATGTTAAAAAAAATTTTTTAAAAAGAAAGTAACTAAAACTAATTTCACTGACTTGTTGATAAATTATCATATATTATTATTATTGTGATATATTATTATTATAGATAGGCTGTGTGTAATCTTTTGTGGAGATTGCGATATATACACAGATTATAAAAAATTTCACCATCTCAATGGTGGACATGATTAAATCTATTCCCAAAAACAGCAAATTAAAAACATTAGTTATAGGTTATTTGCTACTCAAAACCATTTGTATTGGGTAATATTAGAAGTTCCTGCAGTTTTTTCTCATTAAAAAAGTGATAAAATTTTAACACTAGTGAAACATCACTGACACATTAGCTGTCAGGAAAAGTGGAGGCACTATAGACTTACCTTATGACATATTGGAATTATTTAAAAAGAGCAGGCTACGCAAAGGCGTTGGATTCTTGAATAATACATGAATTAGCGCAATAGTGATTGAATTACCGAACTTCCATATACAAAGTGTTGCTGAAACGCAACAAACTAGAACTATTTTTGAAGCGAATCAACAACACTTCAAAGTCTGGATTAACAGCAAACAAGGTTATGTTGAATGTTTGGTAGGATTATTTACTGTCTAGGGAATTGTTTATTCTCTACTGCTTGCAACTTGACCACTGTAACAATCAAAAAAATGCGATTGGTCAACAGAAATGGAGTTGTGTTTTATTATGACAATGCCACACCATCCACAACTTTGATGATTTCCAACAAGTTTGACTGTCATTTGTTACGGGTTTTGCAAAACTCTGTTAATGGTAATGTAATAACATACTGAAGAACCGCTCTAAATCACTTGGCCAAGTTTCATGCAGATTAACTGTAGAAGTTCTAAACCCACGGAATTTGTCCGAAAAATGGCAAAAGGTCATAACTAATAATGGCCAATATATACTTTATTAAAATTAATTATGTTAATAAAAACTTTCATAGTAATAGAAACAAAATTCCAGAAAAATATGCGAACAAAAAAGTCAAGTACGACTTTGGATCAGTTGGTTAAGGTGCGCTGATTCTGAGCTTCACATTTGGCAGGACCCGAATTCGATTCCTGGTACTTGCAGTCTCAAAAATAATTATTTATGATTAATTAAATACAAGAATTATTTCCAAGACCACTGATGATGGGTATTTGGCAATACTCGAAACAGCTGTATGGTCAGCCAAAAATTCAATTAATTAAAATAATATAAAAAATAAAATATTTCACTATTTCACTACTGTTCGAAAAAACCTCTTTAATTAATTTTTTGTTAAAAAATCGGTGAATACTTTGTATATTATGTTATCCAATATTATGTTATTGGATGGACATCATACACCCAAATGTTCTACATTCTAGATGAAGCCGACAATGGCGTTACCTTCGACTTTTAATATGAAGAAAATCAAATAGTAAACAGAAATTTGGAAAATTTTAGATTTAATTGTCATATTCTTTGTTGACCTATTCCAATGTAAGCCTTACGTCTAACAGATATTTCATATTGAGTATAAAATGTTTAATTTCACTGCAGTAAAATTTTTAACAAATATATTGTATCATTTACTTTTTATAGATAATTAATGACATAATGCTGGTAGACAATCTACAATACTCACATGATAACAATATTGCTTTACATTCTATGATATATGAAGCTACATATATATACATATATCATAAATAAATTTCTTGGTTATTTGAACCTAACGACGTTGAAAAAAGTTACTACTGCATTCTATCTTTGAAAATATGGAATAAAGAAGGGAGCAAAGTCTATTGGTTTAGGTCTGATTATACTGATAACTTATAATAAACTCTCGAGGCGTTGCACTTTGTAGTTATAAAAACTATTGATTATGGGTCTCGTATCTAAATATGAAATAATATTGTTTCTATTTGCGGTTTTGCCTCAGTCGACGTCGATACTTCTCATTGAGGTCAATGAAATGTTGTTGACTTTGAAATGCAAAACTGCAACATTTAAAAGCAATTAAGTGTAGACTCAGCCACATAAACACAAACTTCCATACATCAAAATCGTTATGTGAAGATAAAAGTATGAGAAACGAATATCTGAATAAAACCGGAAATTATGCATATTAAAATTTATCATACTTCACTTAAAATGAAACAAGTTTATAATTAAAAAATCTTATTTTGAACATAAGAAAGCAAATTAAATTTTATTTCCAAAATGATTAACTGCAAAAATGATAGGAAGTAAGTTAATGGTGTCATGCCCAATTAAGCGTGCCTGTTCTGTCATAATAAACAAGATTGAAGTATTTGGCAACAGAACTCATCCACACCTTAAAATTTTACATCTTTGCTTATAAGAGAAAAAAAAATGTAATTATTTAATTCAACTAAATCAAAAACTCTTTCGAAGCAACTCTGGTTTTTCGTAGTGGTTTATACGTATATGTCATCTAAATTTCAGAGAGCTCTAGTTTAAATCCCAGAGCTGTTCCTCTCTTTAAACCATCTTTTGTTTAAAACTATTTACCTAATAGTTGTTGTTAGAAAAATCTCATATAATGTCCTTATTTTGGATCAGAATCCAAAATAAATTTTATCTATATTAAATAGCGGAATTTCTCACCGATATAAAGCACCCAACCTTTCAACTTGGAGCAATATGTAGGATTAATAAATTGGTTTGAATTCTAATTTAAAAAATTTCTTCGAAGCAACTCAGGTTTTTCTTTTACAGAAGTTTTTCATATAAGAAATAATCAGTTTTTACCATATATGAACTAGTTTTAAAAGAGCCAAGGTTTAAAGCGCAGAGTTATTCCTTTTTTAGACGATTAAATTATCCTCGATTGTTACAAAAATTTGATATGATGTGATTCTTCTTTAAATATCGAGATTTTGAAATAACGAGATTTTTTTACTAATATATTTGCTCGTTTAAATTAAATGAGCGTTTTAGATATAGATATAAGTCGGGCATTAGCTCCCAGTTTGGAGTGCAGCTCTACTACCATCTTAACAAAATATGTTTATGTAAAAAACGGAATGTTGACTTAATTGAAACTGCTAGTCCCATTTTTTGTGACTATCTGACTTTGATCGGAACCCATAGTTCTTAGTTATTTTATGTGGTTGTTCCAAATACATGTATATATGTATATGTGTGGATATTATTTCTTCTTTATTAAGATGAAAACTGTTACTGAGTTCTTTCTGTGCTGAAATTTTCAATAAAAGATGGGAAGATTTAACGATATGTAGGCATTTGTATGCAATCAGGCCACGTTCCGATAAAAGAAAATCCAAAATTCTCATTGAGAAACCCCGTAGAGATATCGGTCTTTTAGTAGGTTTACTTACAGGTCACTGCAGGATAGGTAACCAGGCTAGAAGATAGGGTCTCTCTTTAAATCAAACCTATCGCAGCTTTGTGGAAGATGATAAAAGTATCTCTGATCTACTTTTGGAAGCTCCAATTCTTGACGATCTTGATCAATTGCAAGACCCGACACTAAATAGCGTTTTACATATACGGTAACACAATGGGCCATAAGGCCTAAATGGATCCCCTAGGGATCGCCGGTATAATCTAACCTAACAGAGGATGGACGAACTAGGTACCCTGGTATTTGCTTAGAGTGTCACACCAATAGCGTTATCGTTCGGTTAAAATACACTTTTCTATCAGACACGTAGTTGAGCATACAGAAATACCACGATAAAGCTTTTTTCTCGACATAAATTGTTTACTAACTGACAATTGTTTAAATGCAGTATATACTTTATAATGCTTATAGTATATGGAATCGATATATACATAATTTAATTATTATTATTATTAGGACATATTTGTATTTTAACAAAGTTACAAATTTAGTCTATTTACAAAGAATATTTTATGTACATCGAAATTACATTATAGAATTTATAATGTATAGTTTAATATTAAATAATATTCAAAAAATTGTGTAGTTTGTTGTTGTAAGGTAGAATGAATTTCTATATAAGTTTTCTACTTTCAAGGGGGTTGTAGTACACACCTACCTTCATTTCAATATTTTTTCTACATCTCTCTCTCCGTACCACTAGAGCACTAGAAAATGATATAACCATATTAATCAGAAAGGAAAAATTTTCCCAATAAAACTTAGGGTCACCCTTATGTACATACACAACATACATACACACATATAGCAATATTTATTTAAGTTTTTATAAAGTTAACGTAAAAAATATAAATTTATTTATTATTTATAGTTCTTAGTGTAAATACTAGACACAATTTTTTTATATTTTCTTTACAAAGTTTCATGTGCAAACAGTTAGAAATTTTTATTAAAAATAATAAAACTTGTAACAAATAGTAAAGTAAAAATAAAAACAAATAAAAATATCAAGGTCATTTCAACAAAACGAAAACATTAATTGTTACACGATAATACAAATGAGAGAAAATTATTTTCTAAAAAACAGAAGAAACTAAAAATAATAACAACATAAGCAAAAAATAAATTCAGAGGTCAAAACACTCAACATAAACATACACACATACACAAAAAAAAAGAGAAACCAAAAACAAACCATAAAAATAACAATATTTATGCTAA